TTTAAAATTTTCTTCCGGAAAATTTTTAGGATTCAGGAGAAACTTCCGTTTTTTTTCAAACCCTATTTCCAGCCCTGGATGTAATGTGATTATAGATGTTGGCCGAAATTGTCTTGGAAAAAATTAATTTCAGCAAACCATTTTGGATTTACAATACTTTTATATTAAAGGTCATCAAAAAAACTATCTAGCATTTTAGCTGGCTGACAATCATTTACTAAGAGAAGCAATTTCGGCTAACAACTATGCTTTGAATTGTATCAAATCTATGTTTGATTTATAATAAGTTGATTGAGTAAGAATTCGTTTTCTTCCAACAAGACCAGTTATCTGGTGAAATAACTAAATTCGTAAGATTAATAAATCTTACAATATGATTATTTAGTTGTACTAAAATAACGCATCATGACAAAAAAAAAATTATATATTAATATGTGATGTGAAAATATGGATATTTGAGATCATATAGTAAAAAATAACATTTTATTTTTGTCATATAACAAATGATTTTTAAAAATAGTGATTTGCAACAAATTTTTATTTAATTTTTTATTAATTGATTTAACAACAATTTTTTTAATATTAATATTATCATTTTAAAAACTATTCCATTTTCCATGAATTCTCCCTGACAAATCAAATATCTTTTTGCAAGCCCATTTGGGTTCTGGAGCCCGTTTGGGTTCACGCGCCCATTTGGGTTTACGCGCCCATTTGGGTTCATGAGCCCATATGGGCGCATCGTCACTAATTTCTACTAAATATAGTTAAATAAATTAAATAAATATTAACGTGTTACGTAATAATAAGAATAATAAATGATTATACGAAACGTAACACGGGTATAACGATAATAATAATAAAATAATTATACAAGTAAAAAAATAAAAATATAAAAATGATAAATATAAAAATAAATAAATGAAAATAAATAAATAAAAATAGAAATAGAATTAATTTGACCCGGAATTATGAGATTCGTCCAAAATATCCCTGTCAGAATCTAATTCCGGTAACAATAGCGCATAATGCCTGATCAATAATGAATAAGATGGTGTTTTTATTAATATCGTCATGTTATTATAAAGAACATGATATTTTTAAATTATTAAAACTACACATACTTTAACAAATAATGAATAAGACATCTCACATAGCTTCCTCTTCACAGTGAATAGGGCATTTTAGACAATAATGTTTAAAAATTATCATCTACACTAAATGATTGTAAAGGTGAAGGAGATGGTGATGGTGATGGTGAAGAAGATGGAGATGGTGATGTCTATAATATAAATAAAAAGTTAAATACTATAATAATAATTTCTTATTAATATTTTATACTTACAGGTTTACTTTTACGATGTCTCCTTTTTAATACATGACCATAATTATAAGTCAAGGATGGTGTCATTATTTTCCTTTTTTTAGTAATTCGTTGTTGATCAGAAGAATTACCAGTAGAAGCTTCTTCTATATTTTGAAAAGTTGATTCAACTTCTGGATTATTGTTATTAAGCATGATGGAATTTCTCTTTATCACATTTGTCCCATAGTGACGATCTTGAAATTATACTGTGTAACAAAATAATT